GGAGGAGGGAGGAGGGAGGAGGGAGGAGGAGGAGGAGGAGGAGGAGGAGGAGGAGGAGGAGGAGGAAGAGGAGGAGGAGGAGGAGGAGGAGGAGGAGGAGGAGGAGGAGGAGGAGGAGGAGGAGGAGCAGGCGAGTGCTGGCAGTCGCCTTTGGCAGTATGTGTTGAACGGAATGTTTGTCTCGTGTCCGTCTGTCGGGCTTGTTGGCGTTCTTTTGTCCAGGACGGATTGGCTCATTGGTTGGTGGTTGGGCCTCCTGGGGGCCTCTTGTCCCACTGGGGCCTCTTGGGGCTTCCTGAGGGCCCCTTGGGGCGGAAGGCTCGAATCGTGGGTTCATGTTCCTCTTCTTGGGGCCGTCCTTGGGCCCTTCATGGGCCGTTTTGGGCGCCTCTTGGGCCGTTTCCAGGCCCTCTTGGACCGTCCTGGAGCCCTCTTGGGGGCCTCCTGGGTGTCGGTTGTCTCTGGGCGGTCTAAAGGAGGCCTCTGGGCCGTCCTGGAGCGTCGGAGGCTCGAAGCCGCACTTCAAGCATATGGAACGATTCGAGGGAAGCCGATGTCTGTTCGCCCCTCTGCCTCGTCGGGCCCCTTCTTGGGAGTCCTCCTGGAGCGCTCGTGGGGCCTCGTGTCCGTCTTCGGGCCATCCTGGGGCGTGCAGGAGCTCGTCTTTGGCCGTCTTGGCGGCCTTGGCTGGGACGCGCAGAGACATGCTAATACTACATGTCCTCCTCGGAGGCGCGCGTCCGACCCGAACATATAGTACACCCATCTTGTAGTATATCGTTTCCCGAGCCGTGTGGCCAGAAAGCCCCCGCCAGGACGCATGTACTATACGATTTCTCGGTGTGCGCGGCGCCCCTGGGGGGGCGACGGACATATAGTAGAGTGCAAATTCACTTTGTCGTGCCGCAGTCGTCTTCTTCTTCAAGTCCGCAGACGGCGTCTATAGACCACTATATACCATTCATGGCCAGTGCTATTCTTGGCTCAGGACTAAAAGTCCTGCTGGCCTCGGCCAGGAAGGCTTATACTACCATGCCTGGTCCAGGAAGGCGCATACACCAATTGTGGGCTCAGGATGGGCCTTGCCAGGATCTGTGTATGTTCATAGTCTGTCCTCCTACCTGGCGGTCGCGGCGGTGAGCCTTGGGCGGAACCGCGCCCGAGAGGATAATCTGTTCCGCTTCACCTTGCTGTCGCTGGCTGCGCTGGAGGCCACGCCGCCGTTGCAGCGCTACTGGCATCCCCAGACGTCGTCATCGTCGTCGTCGTTGTCGTCGTGGTCGTCGCTGACGTCGTCGTCGCCGTCGACGCCGTCGTCGTCGTCGTCGTCGTCGGCGTCGACCACCGCCTGAGTTCCATGGAAATGGTTAGGTGATGACCAACTTCGCGCTGGAATTTTGACCACCGCATGGGACTCTATTCCTGGGACCTCTGGTCGAGGTGGCTGAAGGTCTCTTAGCTTGTTCCACTGGTTTTTATATGTTTATATGTTTTGTTGGACGCAGCTCGAACAACTGGCCAGGATGAACGTAGGGAGAGGTCTGACGGGGGAGTCCTTGTGAGCGGATGTTGTTCACACATTTGCCGGCGTCGAGCGAGGGGGGGAAGTGAGAATGAGAAGGCCTTCTCAGAAGGTTCGGAAGTTCCCCGGCCTTCTGAGAAATTTTCTAAGCCTTCACCGAAAACACAAAACCTCTCAGCAGGCACGAGTGCTCCTGAGAAGTCCCGCCGCCTTCTCACAGGGCCTTCTTCCACTTCCCCCCCCTCGCTCGCCGCCGAAATTGGCGACTCCAGCGAATCGCGTCGGAGGCCTTTTGCCATTTTCTGGGCCCTCGGGGATCGTGCCCAGGGGCCTGTTCTGGGCCTTGGGGGTCTCTTGGGGCCTCTCGGGGGCCTCTTGGGGGCCTCTCGGGGGCCTCTTGGGGGCTTCTTGGGGGCCTCTTGGGGCCTCCAGGGGACCTCTCTGCGCCTAGGCCTCGACATGTCCGTTCGTGTCCCTCGTCTGGGCCCGCTCTTGGAGCCGTCTTGGGAGCCTCTTCCACCATCTTGGAAGCCTCTGGGGCTGTCTTGGAGCCCTCTGGGGCCGTTTTGGGCGCTCTTGGAGGCCTCTTTGGCCGTGTTGGGGCGATCCTGGAAGCCTCTAGGGCCGACTTGGAGCGCCGGTAAGCTCCCAAGGCGAGAACGCCAATAACCGTGAAAAACTTGAGGAACATCGCTAATTTCTGCCTCTGTGGGCCCTCCTGGGAGATGTCTTGGGGCCTCTCGGGGGTCTTTGGGGGCCTCTCGGGGGCCTCTTGGGAGCTTCTTGGGGGCCTCTCGGGGCCTCCAGGGGACCTCTCTGCGCCTAGAGCTCGACATGTCGGTCGCTCTTGGAGCCGTCTTGGGAGCCTCTTTCGCCATCTTGGAAGCCTCTCGGGCTGTCTTGGGGCCCTCTGGGGCCGTTTTGGGGCGCTCTTGGAGGCCTCTTGGACCGTGCTGGGGCGATCCTGGAAGCCTCTTGGGCCGTCCTGGAGCGCCGGTAAGCTCCCCAGGCGATGACGCCAAAAACCTCGGAAGATTGCAGGGAAATGGCCCCTTTCTGCCTCTGCTGGGCCCTCCTGGGAGGTCTCCTGGGGCCTCTTGGGGGTCTTTTGGGGGGGGGGGGGGGCCTGCTGTGCTCGCCTCTCCTCCTCCTCCTCCTCCTCCTCCTCCTCCTCCTCCTCCTCCTCCTCCTCCTCCTTTCCTCCTCTGTGCAAGTCCGGCTGCGCCCTGTTCTGACTGGGCTCGAAGATGCCACAAGAAAAGCGGCGCGTGGTTGCCGGACCGGGCTCCCGGCGACCAGCCCCCGGGGAGGCCTGCGGGGCCCTCGGAGGAGCCAGGGTGGGGCTCGGCGGGCCCTCCCGCCTCCCTCTCTCCCTCACGCGGTGTGTGTGTGTGTGTGTGCGCGTGTGTGTGTGTGTGTGCGTGTGTGTGTGTGTGTGTGTGTGTGTGTGTGTGTGTGTGTGGGTATCCAAATGCGTTGGCAGCCCCGGCTTGTTCTCGGGGATATCCGCATGAGTAATGATAAGGGGAACGAAGAGTGGCGTAAACATAAAAACTCGACGGTCCGCGCGGATTTCTCGGATCGGCGCTGGGGCCTCCTGGCGGCGCTTCCGGCGCCGCCCCTGGCGCCCTCTGCGCGCCAAGGAGGGGGATCCAGCGCGGATCCAAGAAATCCGCGCGGACCTCCGAGTCTTTATGTTTATGTCATTTTTCGTTCCCCTAAATGAGCGTTTCTCGCATTGCGCAGTAACCGTCTGGACACACTGCAATCGGTCCTGAAGGTCCTGAAGGTCCCCTCACTCGGGCTGGGCGAAAGGGGGGGATAGCAAAGGGGGGGCTGGAGGATGGGCTGGAGGATCTGCTCATGCAGCTGATTTTCCCAGCGCCTCCCGGCGCCTGGAGGCGCCCATGTATCGAGGAATGGGCCCGTCGGCGGGGCCGAAACCAGCTGCATGCAGCAGATTTCGTACCTCCCCTTTCCCTATCCCCCCCTTACGCTCGGCCCGACTCACCTCCACCCTTCCCTTCACCCCTGGGAGGGAGGACGGGCCGCTGCGCAGTGACGTCTGGCACCCCTGGCGTGGCAGCCGTTGGCCCTGCGGGTCGGTGGCTTGTCCACGCCGGGGTGTTCGAGCGGACCACGGGCTGGAGTCCCAACCGCAAGTCCGATACGAAAATCCTCCTCCTCCTCCTCCTCCTCCTCCTCCTCCTCAGCAGCAGCAGCAGCAGCAGCAGCATCATCATCATCATCATCCTTCCTGCTCTCATCCTCCTTATCCTCCTCCTTTCCTCTCTCTCTCTCTCTCTTTCTCCTCCACACGGAGGGAGTCGGAGGCGACCCTCATCTGCTGGCGTTGAGCCAGCTTTAATCCTAGGATTGCAGCTTTCTTGCGGCGACTCTTCTCCTCCTCCTCCTTCTCCCCCTCCTCCTCCTCCTTTCCCTCCCCCTCCTCCTCCTCCTCCTGCCTGCTCCTCATGTTTCCTTCTCGCTTCTGCCTCCTCTGTGCCCCCGCCGAGGCTTACCTGAACCTGGTCATAAGAAGGAGCAAGTTCGGCGACCCTCTTTTTTTGGGCGTTGCGCCAACTTGAATCCTGGTAGCGTTCTGCCGGCGACCCTCCTCCTTCCCCTCCTCCTTCTCCTCCTCCTCCTCCTCCTCCTCCTCCTCCTCTCCGTCCTCTTCTTGCCTCCTCCTCCTTCCTCCTCATGCTTCTTCTTCTTCTTCTTCTTCTTCTTCTTCCCCTCCTCCTCCTCCTCCTCCTCCTCCTCCTCTCCTCTCCCCTTCTTGCCTCCTCCTCCTTTCCTCATGCTTCTTCTTCTTCTTCTTCTTTCTTCCCCCTCCCCCTCTCCTCCTCCCTCTCCTCCTCCTCCTCTCTCCTCCTCTCCGTCCTCTTCTTGCCTCCTCCTCCCTCTCATGCTTCTTCTTCTTCTTCTTCCTTCTTCTTTCTCCCCCTCCTCCTCCTCCTCCTCCTCCTCCTCCTCCTCCTCCTCCTCCTCCCTCCCCTGTGCCCCCGCCGAGGCGCCCCTGAACCTGGTGATACGAGGGAGCAAGTACGGCGACAAGGTGCTGTTCTTGGCCAACGACTGGCAGGCCGCGGCGCGCCTCGCTCGTGGCGCGCCCTCGGCGGCCTCCGGCGGCAGGGGCCTCCCACCCGGGAGGTCGCTCTTCGAGGCGGGAGGGCGCTCTTCGAGGGAGGGCGCTCTTCGAGGGAGGGAGGGCGCCGTGGTGCCCCTTCGAGGGAGGGCGCCCCTTCGAGGGAGGGCGCCCCTTCCAGGGAGGGCGCCTCTTCGAGGGAGGGGCGCTCTTCGAGGGAGGGAGGCGCTCTTCGAGGGAGGGAGGCGCCCTTTGATGAGGGAGGCGCTCCTTCGAGGGAGTCGCCCTTCGGCGCCCCTCCGAGGGAGGCGCCCTTCGAGGGAGGGCGCTCGTCGAGGAAGGGCGCTCGTCGAGGGGGGCGGGGGGGCGCCGCGGTGCCCAGGAGCCCCCCTCCGACGGGTCGAGGGTCGAGAGGCGACCGCTGCTCCGCGTGTGGCGCGCCCTGTCGTCTGCGGACGTCTGGGCTGAAGTCGGGCCTCTCCCTCTGCAGGAGGGATGTTCAAGAATACAGTCGGGGGCTTGACCTCAGGAACCCCAAATAAGGAACGAGGCCCTTTTTTTCCATGGGTTAAACTTCGATTTCCCGTCGAAAACATAATAAAAACCAAGGAACGCGGAGCCCCTCCCCAACGAAAAGGGTTCCTTCTTCAGGGCCCCGACTGTAGTCAAACCGTAGTCATGGGACGATTTTTTAACATACTATTTTTGACCATCTCTGGGGGCATTGTCTGGCTACGTCTTATGTCTCGGCCACAAGCCGCCTGTAGGGGGACGCGCCCGACCTGAGTCTAGGCTGAAGTCGGGCACGTCCCTCTACAGGAGGAATGTTCAAGAATAGCGCAACAATAGTATGGTGGCGATGTTTCGTGTTCTTTTGACTATTTGTTAGTTTTTCGACTACGTTCAATGATTCTTCCCAAATCCGCCTGTAGGGTCGGAGGGTCGCGCTGCATCGCCGATGCACCGGCGGGGCGGCTCGATGTGAAGCCCGGATTTTTGAAAGAGCGTGTTCTACCGCTGCTGGCGGAAAACCGGGGGGGGGTCACTGCCAGTTCGAACCCCCCCCTCCCCCCCCGTCCATCATGAAAGGGGGGGGGGTCACCACCGGTCCGAACCCCCTCCCCTTCGCCGGCGGCAAACGATCCCCGCTCCTCGGGACAAGGGGACAGTGGTGGGGACACTGGGACAGTGGTGAGGACGGTTGTGGTGGGGACAGTGGTGTGGGGACAGTGGGACAGTGGTGGGGACTCTGGGACAGTGGTGGGGACGGTGGTGGTGGGGACAGTGGTGAGGGTACAGCGGGACAGTGGTGGGGACAGTGGGGACAGTGGGACAGTGGTGGGGACGGTAGTGGTGGGGACAGTGGTGAAGGCGGTGGTGAGGACGGTGGTGTGACAGTGGTGGGACAGTGGTACAATGGGGACGGTGGTGGGGACAGTGGGGACGGTGGTGGGGACAGTGGGGACAGTGGGACACCACAGTGAGACAGCGGCGGGGACAGTGGGACTGGGACAGTGGTGGGAACAGTGAGGACATTTGGACAGTGGTGGGGACAGTGGGGACAATGGGGAGAGCGGGACCGTGGTGGGACAATGGTGGGGACAGTGGGGACAGTGAGACACTGGTGGGGGCACTGGTGAGGACAGCGGAGACAATGGTGAGAACAGTGGGGACACTGGGACAGTGGTGGGCACAGTGGGACTGTGGTTGGGGCGGTGGTGGTGGGGACGGTGGTGTGGGGGCAGTGGGGACAGTGGTGGGGACAGTGGGAGCTCAGTGGGACAGCGGCGGGGAGAAGTGGACAGTGGGACAGTGGGGACAGTGGGGACAGTGGGACAGTGGGACAGTGGTGGGGGCCGTGGGGAAAGTGGGGACAGTGCGACCGTGGTGGGAACAGTGGTGGGGACTGGGGACAGTTCGACAGTGGTGGGGGCACTGGTGGGGACGGTGGGGACGGTGGTGGGAAAAGTGGGGACAGTGGTGGTGGGGGCGGTGGTGGTAGGGACAGCGGTAGTGGATGTGGTGCGGACGGTGGTGGGGACCCAGGAGTCAGGGGGGGGAGGCTCGAACCGGTAGTGACCCCCCCGGTTTTCTGGAGGGGGGGGGGTTCGAACCGGTAGTGACCTCCCCATGTTTTTTGGAGGGGGCGGGCGGGTTCGAACTGGTAGTGACCCCTCCGGTTTTTTTTGGGGGGGGAGGGGCTCGAACCAGTTGTGACCCCCTTCCGCCGGTTTTCTGGCGGGGGGGGTTTGAACGGGTAGTGACGCCCCCCGGTTTTCCGCAGGGGGGGGTGGGGAGGTGTCAAGTTAACCAAGCCAGCTCGAACGAGCCAGAGGGCTCCGTCCATTCCCACCCGCCCTCCCACAACATAAGAAGCAAGTGCGTCGCGTCCGACGCCTGTCGTTCATCTTATATCGTGGGCGGCTAGACGTTCAGCGCGCGACATGAGCTGCGTCCTATTCCTGCTGCGTATTGAGCAACGTTGACGAGAAACAAGACCGCGCGCAAAGTGCGCCGCGCCCCGCTCCGGCCTCTCATGTTGCATCGTCGGCGACAACATGTCCAGCGCGCGAAGTGCGGCGAACCGCACTTGCTTGAGGCATTATGACTTGCCGCCCGCCCACTCCTCAACCCGACGGGCCGCAGCGTCGACGACAAGAACGTCCATGTTGACGAGCAGGCGTCCCCGCGCGATGTGCGCCGCGTCCCATTCCCGCTACGCGATTCGCAGCGCCGACGAGGAGAAAATACATGTTGGCAAGAAAAACGTCGACGTTGCGGTGCTTTTTTGACAGGTAGGACGGGGGGTCCCGCGTAGGGTTGGCCAGGCGTCCGCGCGCGATCTACGCCGCGTCCCATTCCTGCTACACTTTAGCAGCGCCGACGACAAGAAAGTACATGCTAACGAGAAAAACGTTGACTTTATATTTGCGTAGGACGCGACCACCCGGTTAGGGTCACCCAGGCGATGTTCATTCCGTCTTTTTTTGCTACACTTTTCGCAACTCGACGACATGTTGGCGAGAAAAAAAGAGTTTGCGATGTTTGTTGATGGTAAGGACGGTGGGATTGCCATCGGCCGGCTAGGTGGGGATGTGGGGGTGTTTAATCATAGGGAGTAAGGATTAGAGGGGGGGCCGGGGGAAGGGGGGCTCCAGCACTGGGTGGTGGTGGGATTTTCGAAGGGGGGGGACCCCCGGGCTCCGGAGGAAGAGGGGGGGGATATTCCAAAGTGAAGCGGCAGTGGGTCACGCTCTCTCGGTTTTCTCGACACTGACGTCGCCAATCCATCGCCGATGTCGACGATGCATCGCCACTGCGTCGCCAATGCGTAGGCGATGATTGGCGATGTGGCGCGATCTTCCGAACCAACATATTCGGACCCCATCTAGGAGGCCTCTGTGAAGACAAAGCAGGGGGAAACGAGATGGGGGGATAGGCATAGGGGGGATGCATCGACCCCCAATCGCCCATTGATCGCCGATTGAATCCCCACAGCCCCAACCTGCCCCAGAGCGTTCGGATTCACTATCGGGAACCCATCGCCGATTTATGAGCGATGTACCGCCGATCCCATGTTGACCTTCCCGTCCACCTTATTCCAGTACCCCCAGTCGCTGCCCTTCAACGGCGGCGGGGTGGGCTGGCATGGGAGCGGCATTGGCAGCGAGGGCGAGCCCCCCGACAACACATCCTGTGACATGTTCCAGGGCCAAATCCTCGTCAGCTCTACAGCCGCCGCCGCCGCCGCCGCCGTCGTCGTCGTCGTCGTCGCAATCGTCGTCGTCGTGGTCGTCGTCGTCGTCGTGCTGGTTGTCGTCGTCTTCGGGCTCCTCTGGGCTGCTTCGGGCCCATGGGTCACCAGAAAAACGGCCGGGGGGAAGGCCTTGTCCCTGGGATGGGGCTGAGAGTTCCAATATCCCAGGCCACGAACTACTCATGACCTTTGCTGTCTCAGCATGCGGGCGGTTCTGGCTTGTCCCCCCTGGAACCTGCGACAGAGCCCTGCTCCAGGAGGCGAGATCTAGGCCGAGCCTTCTCCGGGACGGAACTGGTTCCCTCGGGCAGATTCGGTTCGGGCGTTGCGGTGCTGCAGCGCGTCAGCGCGCAGCGCTGGCGAGTTTGTTATTTGGATTGTTCGCGGACCATGGCTCAGGCCGCGTACATAAGGCCAGACGGGGCGTGTGGGGCTTTGGCGCCGCGATGGCCCTGGCCCAATGCCAGCCGCAGGGGCTCGAGGCTACCATCAAGTGCGTGCTGCTGAGAGGCATGCTCTTCATCCCGAGGTGTCTCGCTGGCATCGGCCCCTCCCCAGGTCGCAGTACAGTGGGGGCGCGCATCCAGAAGCCATATGCTTTTTGTCAGGGTATCCTGGGTTTCTTCGCCCTTCGCGCAGTGTGGTGACTTGCCGCAGCCGTTGAAGAAGCTGCTGCGTTCAGGGTGCTCCAGGTTTCTCCTCGGGTGTACCTCGCGCGCGGGTTCTCAGGGGTGAGTTTCTTGCGAGGGTTTCTTGCGGTCGCGCACGCACTGTATTTTAATAGTGTGCGCCATTCGGCCGCCTCGTGAGCTAGATCGCTGCGTTAGGTACGTCGAAACCGCTCGGCCGCCGTCTTGGCTCCGTGAACCTCGATCATATTCTACATCCGAAACGCCCACCTGCAACGCCGTTCGTGTTTTTGCCGTGGCATGGCTGTTACCTTGCTCCAGTGGAGCAGCCGTGTGCAGAGGGATCTCGAGTCCTGTCGCTGTCGGATCTTTCGACACTGAAGACAACGGCGGAGTGGACTGGCATGAGCGACAGGCATCTAGGGCGAGCTCCCCCGCAACACATGCTGTGAAATGTATATTGAGAAAGCTTCGTCATCGTCGTCGTCGTCGCTGCCGCAGTAGTCATCGTCGTCGTCGTCGTTGTTGTCGTCGTCTTAGTCTTCGTCGTCGTCGTCGCGGTCGTTGTCTCGGTCGCTGACGCCGTCGCAGTCTTCTTCGTCGTCGTCGTC